GGATGTGTGATGTCCCCGTGGTTTTTTAAATAAAATTTATAAGGGGTTGTAAAAAGGAAGAAAATGCTAGGTCTGGCAAGGGGCGGGATTTTAAAAGAAAAGAATCACCCCACAAATTGGGAGTTGGTCACACTGCTTTTTGCTAAAGGCCCACTGTGTTTTGGGGAGATTTGAAGAGAAGTTGCAGGGGTTTGGTGATGAATTTGGTAGGGTGAAAAAGAAAAAAATTTAAAGGGTGAAAAAGGAAAGATTTAAGGGTTTAAAGAGGATAACAAAAAGATTAGGTAAAGAAAGTTAAAAATCAGATTGGAGGAGGGGAGTATGGGGAGGTGAACGTATTTCAGATATTGGGAGGGAAGTGCCAGGGGTGGGTCAAATGAAGATGGGGTGAACCCATAAAAAATTGATGGGGGAAAAAAGGGAGTGAGGGGTGCACTTGGGATTGTGGAGAAAAAAGACTTTGTCCTTGGAGGCAAAGGGGGGAATTAGGGAGATTTATTTTTTTCCCAACGTTTCTTAAAATGGGTGGGGAAGCGTGGTGATGAATTTTAAAAACGAGGAAAGGCTGGGGGCAGTGGAGTTTTCCCATTTTCCTGGGGGCAAGTGTGGTGTGAATTTAAGGCAGAGAATTCGTAGTTTGGAAGTTGGAGGAGGTGCGGGTTTTTCCCCAAACTTTTGTCCAGGGGGCTGGGGAAGGGTTTTTAGGTGGTTCGGACATGTGAGAGAATGGAGGAAAAAGAATGACTTAAGAGTGTATCAGTCTGTAGGGGAAAGGGAAGGGGGGGGTAGGGGTGGGCCCTGGGGAAGGGTTGGAGGGGGGGGTAAAGGGGTTTTGGGCGGGGGTTGGATTTCCCAGCAGGCATGGTGGCGTGTTTGATAGGAGTGAATGGAGAAAAATGGTTTTTAAATACTTGACGTGCTTTTGGGTGTGAGCAAGTAACATTATAAAGGGGGATTCGGGGAAAACCCGGCGGGCCCCGGACTTGGTTTGGGTGGGAAGTACAGTGTGCACTCTGAAGGAGGGGTGTTATGTTGCTTTTAAAAAAACTGTAGGTAAGACCCTTCTGGAAAGCGGAGGGAGTGAAGTGGTGAAAAGTTTTTTTTTTGGGCCACCCGTTTGGTGGGAATCGGCCCGGTTTTTTGGATAATAAAAAAAAAAAATAATAATGATTGGCGTAAAATGGAAAAAACAGGAAAAAAAGGGGGTTTTAAATAGCGTGCTAAAAATTTCGCTAAGACAGGATCGCAGAAAATAAGCATAAGAACAAGGGAACACTGCAGCGGGCCCTTTCTGGCCCAGCGAGGCAGGCCCAAGCTCCTCCCGGTTAAGCCAATGCCCCAAAAACCTAGTCAGGTAGGTCCCCCTTGATTTAAAGGGAGGAACACGGAAAACCGTCTGGTAGCACAAGAAATCGGTCCAACTCACCCCCCCACACCACTCAGTATTTACCCAACTTTTTTTAAAGCACACAACTTTTGGCCCTTAATGTATTGGGGGTTTTGTTCCCTCATCCACAACTCTTTTTACCAAACCAGTACTTTCCTATACCCTTTCCCGAATCTAAATTTTTTCTAATTAAAAACCATTGGCGAGCCCTGTCTAGGCTAGATATGTTGGGGTAAGAACTTTGAAAAGTTAGGAAATCTTTTTTTTCAAAAACGTTTGCCTACACGTAGGCTTCTTCAGTCGAGTACAGAAAATTTGATAGAAGAGAAGATATTGAGCGATGTAAATCGTCCATCCCCCAAAAATTTTTGAGGTGGTCATCCTCAGTTGGGAAGAGATTGGTTGTTCTTGAAAACAATTTTGAATTAATAAATATTTAAACCAATTTTTCTTTGGAGGGAGGTCCTTCCCAAACCCCAGCCGTTCTCACTAGTGAGGTCAAAATTTGATGGTTGTCCCAAGTCCCTTTTGTGTTGCAGTGTTTTTGACAGAATGAACATTAAAATGGTATAAAATACCGACAGATTGTTAGGTAAGACACATATGCAACATTTTAATGTTCATTAGGCTAGAATTTTCGCATATTTTACACCCCTTTTATTTTTTCCCTGTTTTCCCATTTATACACCTCAATCTATCCCCCTAATTCTAGTTTTTAGTGAGTGAAGATTCGGGGCCCCTTTTGTTATCCTCATAGGGAAGGTTTTGTACATGGGATAACTTTGTCACCTCCTTTGTATATTTTTCCAGAGCATTTATATCCATTCTGTAATACGGTGACCAAAACTGTGCAGCATTATCTAAATGAGGCCTAACCAAGGATGTATAGAGTTGAAGAACAGCCTGAGGATTTGGTTTCAAGTTGGAAAAATTCAGTTTCGGAAGGATATGGGAAGCACGGGTTTTGGTAATAGGTTGGGGATGGCGGAGATCTCCCGAGTAATTTATTGAGGCTAAAACATTGTGTAGCTTAAAAATGGTTAGATAAATACTTTGAGTGGGTGTGGGTGGGGGGTGGGGTGAGTTGGACCTGTGCTGTGTACTAGGCTGATGCGGTTTTCCCTTTCCCTTATGTGAAAGTCCCTGATTAGGTGGGCATTGTGCTAATCCGGGGGGAACAGGACCTGCTTCGCATGGGTCAAAGGTTTCTGCGTGTTCCTTCTTATGTTCTTAAAGGGTCGGTCTGTAGATACAAGTTATTGTCTTCCCCTTTCCTGTATGAGTTTAAATCCCTCCATTCGACGGCGCTGTTGATCCATGGGGTTTGAGCTTTCTTTTGGTGAACATATAACAATTCTGAACTGCATGAGTCTTCAACAGTTAGTGAATGATGTGAAATAGATGGAAGGTTTCATGGATGAAGTTGTGTAAGCACAAATTTTGTTGGATTCTCAACAATAACTGGAAAATGATTCTTATGGTAAAATTTAAATATTTAGAGCTGATGTGTTTTCCTCAAGAGAAACAATGTCTCCATGTTAGTTTGTGTAAGTTATCATATGAAAATTTTGTTAGTTAAAAAGTTTATGTAAAATAATTAAAGAAAGTTTTTTTTCTGATCAATAATAATATATAGTGTTTGACTATTTGCATATCTTATGTTAAGGTTTAAATTTTTCCCTTGTGGGTGTTAACATCGGGGCTATAGACCTTTCTTAAAACATTTGTAGTTTATAAAATTTTTTAAAAAACTGATTCAATTTACAGAAAAACTGGATTAAATTTTAGATACGCCCGTTTTGGCGGTTTGCCAAAGTGCTTTTGCCTTTTTTTGGATTTAGTTTTATAAGTTTTATTAGATTTTGATGTAGATGTCTTAATTTTTAATTTGATGAAAAATTGGATATTAGCTTCCCCTATGAGTCATGTGATGTCTTTTCTGATTCGATTATTAAATATGGGTGATACGGGGGTTCCTGAATTAGTAACGAGTAATGACAATTTATCTCGAAAAAAATTGTTTTTTTAACGTTTGTAATGACACCGAGAAAATGGTTCAAAGAGAACCCGATAAAAACCCAGTAGTCTGTTAGAAAATTTTTGTCCTAAAATCTTGATCGGCTTTACCCCCACAAATTGAAAAAAGTAGTAAATTTAATAGGTAAAAAGGGGAAGGGATGTGACTGACAAAGTGACCCAAAAAATGTAAAGGGAAACTTTTTTTTTGGAGATAGGAAAAGTCAGGTCATTGATTCCAGTTTGTGAGGGAGTTGTGTTTTTTTGTTGAGTATTGTGTTGTGAGTGTTTGGAAATTTGTAGTTCAAAATGTTGGGGTTCCCTTGGTAGGTGTCGATTAGCGAGGTTCAAGAAACGTCGAGTTAAGATCATGTTCGGTAAGGGAGTTGTGCCTCTTCCAGTATCAAATGTCCGTGGGGTTTCTGGGAGGGAACGGGGGTACTTTTTGGGATCCTTGTTGTAGGGTTTCAATGTTCTTTTGGGGGGACCGATTTTGGGACAGTATCCACAGGGGATTTTTGACATCACCACATGGGAGCACTGTAACTTGCTTTGAGGATTGTTCCGTAAGGGAGTTGGTGAAGAAAGCTTGAGCATTGACTTTGTAATTCCGGATGAGGAAAGGTGGGAAATGAAGATGTGTGAAGGCTTGTGATATGTAGGTAAATTCCTCTTCAAGAAAACAAGGGCTAGAGATGCGAAGAACTATCAAGTAGAAGCCAATGAGGAGTGTGAGTATCATGGTGTGAAATGTGTATAAGATCATCCTTGTTGGTAGATTTTTTATACACTTTAAAGAGATTGCTGTTGGGAGACCTGGAGAGGAGGAAGTCGAGGAAGGGAAGTTTACCTTCTTTTTCGAGTTCCGGTGTAAACTTTATTGGTGGCTCGACAGCGTTGTTCTTGTTGAGGAGGACCTTGATATTGAAACGTCTTCGACAGAAAACCAAAATATCGTCAATGCTTCATTTTCGAGGTCACTGTGTCACTCACACACCACTTAACTTTATACACTATGTATTATCAAACACTGTATATTAGAAGTGATCAAAGTCCCAGGACAGAAACATTTGCTAATAAACATGTCTCATTGTTTCCTCAAAAGTGTTTTTAAACAAGAAATTAATTTAATATTTAACCTTCGTGTGTTATTAATTGTACAATAAACATTCCTTTATATATTGCACACTGTTGTTATAATATTTAAAATATAAAATTTAAGAAAAAAATTGCTATTGGCCGAAAACTGGGTATCAGTATTGGCAAATATTTTGGTATCGTCCTATCCGTACTTCACATTTTTTTACACGTTTTATAAACTCTAAAAGGTGGTAAACCCAGCACAGTTGCCGCAGCCTGGCTAGCCATGTAGACACAGAAAATAACATCAGTGCTGTGAACTTTAACCAGGTGTTTTGAATTTCGAAATATTTGCATTTTAAAGTTGCTTTGATTTTTTTGTAAATTTCTTGTAACTGAAATACCGAATTTCCAGCATTATATTATGATAAATTTTGTGAACATATTACTTTGACTGTCTAAGCGGTGTTCTCTATGGTTCCTCATTCTCTTACTAACATTTTTCCATCTATCTCAGGTTATCTGGTCTTGTCTGGTGGAGGACTCAGCTTTATTCCTGAGGTTTTTTCTGGAAAAGTTAACGAGGGAACGTCAAGACGTGATGATTCGTCTTCTTCGTCGGTTGGTTCGCTTCATCCCCAGACTGCCCTCTCAGGTACATACTTATCTCACAGGTACATACTGACCTCTCAGGTACATACTTATCTCACAGGTACATACTGACCTCTCAGGTACATACTGCCCTCTCAGGTACATACTTATCTCACAGGTACATACTGACCTCTCAGGTACATACTGCCCTCTCAGGTACATACTGCCCTCTCAGGTACATACTGCCCTCTCAGGTACATACTGCCCTCTCAGGTACATACTGCCCTCTAAGGTACGTACTGCCCTCTCTGGTACATACTGACCTCTCAGGTACATACTGCCCTCTCAGGTACATACTGCCCTCTCAGGTACATACTGCCCTCTCAGGTACATACTGCCTTCTCAGGTACATACTGCCCTCTCAGGTATATACTGCCCTCTCAGGTACATACTGCCCTCTCAGGTACATACTGCCCTCTCTGGTACATACTGACCTCTCAGGTACATACTGCCCTTTCTGGTACATACTGACCTCTCAGGTACATACTGCCCTCTCAGGTACATACTGACCTCTCAGGTACTTACTGCCCTCTCTGGTACATACTGCCCTCTCAGGTACATACTGCCCTCTCTGGTACATACTGCCCTCTCTGGTACATACTGCCCTCTCAGGTACATACTGCCCTCTCTGGTACATACTTGCCCTCTCTGTACATACTGCCCTCTCAGGTACATACTGCCCTCTCAGGTACATACTGCCCTCTCAGGTACATACTGCCCTCTCAGGTACATACTGCCCTCTCAGGTACATACTGCCCTCTCAGGTACATACTGCCCTCTCAGGTACATACTGCCCTCTCAGGTACATACTGCCCTCTCAGGTACATACTGCCCTCTCAGGTACATACTGCCCTCTCAGGTACATACTGCCCTCTCAGGTACATACTGCCCTCTCAGGTACATACTGCCCTCTCAGGTACATACTGCCCTCTCGGTACATACTGCCCTTCAGGTACATACTGCCCACTCAGGTACATACTGCCCTCTCAGGTACATACTGACCTCTCAGGTACATACTGCCCTCTCAGGTACATACTGCCCACTCAGGTACATACTGCCCTCTCAGGTACATACTGCCCTCTCAGGTACATTACTGCCCATCAGGTACATACTGCCCTCTCAGGTACATACTGACCTCTCAGGTACATACTGCCCTCTCAGGTACATACTGCCCACTCAGGTACATACTGCCCTCTCAGGTACATACTGCCCTCTCAGGTACATACTGCCCACTCAGGTACATACTGCCCTCTCAGGTACATACTGACCTCTCAGGTACATACTGCCCTCTCAGGTACATACTGACCTCTCAGGTACATACTGCCCTCTCAGGTACATACTGCCCACTCAGGTACATACTGCCCTCTCAGGTACATACTGACCTCTCAGGTACATAATGCCCTCTCAGGTACATACTGCACCTTTTATGTTACTAAAATCTTACTTTTAGAATAATTTATTTCCATCATTTGCATTAACAGTAACTAGAAAAAAATAATATATTCTGTACAGTTAAACTTACATCGGGCAAAGTTCACCGAGAACCATTATGTCAATAAATTATATGTCTCACTGTTTTTAACAACTTTTTTTAACATATAAGCTATCTCACACCGAGGTAGGGTGACCCAAATAAAGAAACACATTCACCTTCACTCATAACTGTGGCCAGAAATGTGCAAACATCATAGTTCTAAATGACCCTTGTAGCTGCATAAATGTTACCTTTCTCACCTTCCAACAGCACATCAAGCCATGGAAACCACTTTTCTCCATTCACTCCTGTCTAACATTCTTATGAAACCTGTTGGATGTTTGACCCCCTAAGACTCGAAGCTTCTTTTACCTACATCCAACCTTTCCACGGAGACTCCTACCCCCTCCTTCCACTCAAAAGTTATGCACTATGACAGTCATTATCGTCTCCTCCGTCTTATCTAAATGCCCAAACTAGCTCGACAATCCCTCTTCAGCTCTCTGAATTATACCATGGTAGCCTCAGAACACTTCTGAATAGCACTTTTTCAAACAAATACCGAAATAAAACTACACGTTCAATCGATTCACTTATTTCCGTCACCAGACTCAGATTGCTGTCTTTAGTCTAGTCTTTAGTCATTTATAAATTCTCTCTCGTTTTGGGAAGCCCCGGTTATACCATATCCAAATTTTAGCATCTCCGTTATGGACACATTCACTCTTTTCTTGGCACATTTTCAGTTATACTCACTTAGTATGCTTGTGTATACCAGTGGCTTAAGTTTATCTTTCATTGGAGTGGGTTATGGGCTTTCTGGAGATAGCCAGCATTTACATGGCTAAATTATGTGCACTTTACGACTTCTTTCCATTGGTGTTGTGGATAAAGGTACTCGCAGGATAGTTTATTTCGCAGATGAGACTCACACCTAGTCAACTCATTTACTTAAACATATGTCAAGATCTGTGGACTAAGCCTCTCCAACGTACTGTGGGAATGAAGGTAGCGGGACGTTACCATAATTACAGTATATCACAGGTTTGTCATAAGGAGAGTTGTCTAGCACCAATCAGTTAGATATATTTTGTCTCATTAGCGGTTACACACCATATTAAAGGCTTGGTTATTAGCACAAGAATTGAATTTTGGTCTCTTTTGTAGTTTCCTGATTCATTACACTGCCTTCCTTATCAGAAAGCTCTACCTCAGTGCAATCACATTGATTTATTAACTGAAACTGATCCGTTATGCTTGCAGCTATTCCACACATGCAAACCATCACATTTCTCTCTCTGGCCATTAGTTTCCTCTACCATATTGCCCACATCAGTTTCAACATGTTTGTGTCTTGTTCAAACATTCTGTCGATTATACGCCATCAATATAAACTTATGCATTAAATAATTCTGTATGACTACAACTATTGCTATTATTACTGCTAAATATTACTACTGCTACTGTTTTTTTATCAGTAGTACTACTATCACTGCTACTACTACTACTAATAAAAATACTACTACTACTACTACTACTACTACTACTACTACTACTACTACTACTACTACTAATAATAATAATAATAATAATAATAATAATAATAATAATAATAATAATAATAATAATGATATTTAGTAATAATAATAAAAAGAAGAAGAAGAAGTATGAAGAAATAAAGCATTACATAGATACAAAGTTGATGAAGGTCGGTGACGCGGTACAGTGATCAATACAAGGAATACTAAATTTTCTGTAACTTGTATAAACTGCCAATCAATGTGTTATTATAACATTACAGGCAGCCTTCGCACTGTACAACTACATGGTGGGTTACGTTATGTTTTATGTGCGGAGTCCACAAGAAGCCTCACAAGATCACATTGCTTCTGCTCTCTCAATACTTTGGACAGTAAGTAACATATTAAATTTCTGAAATCTTACATCTTACGTTAATTATCTCATATTTTGTTATACATATTTTTTTCTTAGTTTCCTTCGTATGCTTTATTTTAAATTTTATTGAATATGTTTTGCTTCTTTAAATGTTTACTTATCACCTTAGTTTTTTTGTTCATGAACTTGCTGTCTTCTAGGCATGAATTAATACAGTAACCTGTGTGTATGAATATCTTCACTAGAATATATGAATTCTTCACTCAGCATGTATGAATATTGCGACCAAGATATATGAATACTACAACCTGCATGTATTAATACTGCATTATGCATGTATGAATACTGTACTGTGTAATCTGTATTATGAACACTGTATTGTGAAATCTGCACACGTTATTGCATGTAAGAATGTTGCAACATGCATGTGTGAATATATTAACATGCTTGCATGAATAATTTAACATGAGAATACTATAACATGTATCTATGCATGTATTCTGTAATTTGCATGTAGGAATACTGCAACCTGCATGTAGGAATACTGCAACCTGCATGTAGGAATACTGCAACCTGCATGTAGGAATATTCAACTTGCATGTAGGAATACTGCAACTTGCATGTAGGAATATTCAACCTGCATGTAGGAATACTGCAACCTGCATGTAGGAATACTGCAACCTGCATGTAGGAATACTGCAACCTGCATGTAGGAATATTCAACCTGCATGTAGGAATACTGCAACCTGCATGTAGGAATATTCAACCTGCATGTAGGAATACTGCAACCTGCATGTAGGAATACTGCAACCTGCATGTAGGAATACTGCAACCTGCATGTAGGAATACTGCAACCTGCATGTAGGAATACTGCAACCTGCATGTAGGAATACTGCAACCTGCATGTAGGAATACTGCAACCTGCATGTAGGAATACTGCAACCTGCATGTAGGAATATTCAACCTGCATGTAGGAATACTGCAACCTGCATGTAGGAATACTGCAACCTGCATGTAGGAATACTGCAACCTGCATGTAGGAATATTCAACCTGCATGTAGGAATACTGCAACCTGCATGTAGGAATATTCAACCTGCATGTAGGAATACTGCAATCTGCATGTAGGAATACTGCAACCTGCATGTAGGAATACTGCAACCTGCATATAGGAATACTGCAACCTGCATGTAGGAATACTGCAACCTGCATGTAGGAATACTGCAACCTGCATGTAGGAATACTGCAACCTGCATGTAGGAATATTCAACCTGCATGTAGGAATACTGCAACCTGCATGTAGGAATATTCAACCTGCATGTAGGAATACTGCAACCTGCATGTAGGAATACTGCAACCTGCATGTAGGAATACTGCAACCTGCATGTAGGAATATTCAACCTGCATGTAGGAATACTGCAACCTGCATGTAGGAATATTCAACCTGCATGTAGGAATACTGCAACCTGCATGTAGGAATACTGCAACCTGCATGTAGGAATACTGCAACCTGCATGTAGGAATACTGCAACCTGCATGTAGGAATACTGTAACCTGCTGTAGGATACTGCAACCTGCATGTAGGAATACTGCAACCTGCATGTAGGAATACTGCAACCTGCATGTAGGAATACTGCAACCTGCATGTAGGAATACTGCAACCTGCATGTAGGAATACTGCAACCTGCATGTAGGAATACTGCAACTTGCATGTAGGAATACTGCAACCTGCATGTAGGAATACTGCAACCTGCATGTAGGAATACTGCAACCTGCATGTAGGAATACTGCAACCTGCATGTAGGAATACTGCAACCTGCATGTAGGAATACTGCAACCTGCATGTAGGAATACTGCAACCTGCATGTAGGAATACTGCAACCTGCATGTAGGAATACTGCAACCTGCATGTAGGAATACTGCAACCTGCATGTAGGAATACTCAACCTGCATGTAGGAATACTGCAACCTGCATGTAGGAATACTGCAACCTGCATGTAGGAATACTGCAACCTGCATGTAGGAATATTCAACCTGCATGTAGGAATACTGCAACCTGCATGTAGGAATACTGCAACCTGCATGTAGGAATACTCAACCTGCATGTAGGAATACTGCAACCTGCATGTAGGAATATTCAACCTGCATGTAGGAATACTGCAACCTGCATGTAGGAATACTGCAACCTGCATGTAGGAATACTTAACCTGCATGTAGGAATACTGCAACCTGCATGTAGGAATACTGCAACCTGCACGTAGGAATACTGCAACCTGCATGTAGGAATACTTAACCTGCATGTAGGAATACTTAACCTGCATGTAGGAATACTGCAACCTGCATGTAGGAATACTGCAACCTGCATGTAGGAATACTCAACCTGCATGTAGGAATACTGCAACCTGCATGTAGGAATACTCAACCTGCATGTAGGAATACTGCAACCTGCATGTAGGAATACTGCAACCTGCATGTAGGAATACTCAACCTGCATGTAGGAATACTGCAACCTGCATGTAGGAATACTGCAACCTGCATGTAGGAATACTCAACCTGCATGTAGGAATACTGCAACCTGCATGTAGGAATACTGCAACCTGCATGTAGGAATACTCAGCCTGCATGTAGGAATACTGCAACCTGCATGTAGGAATACTGCAACCTGCATGTAGGAATACTGCAACCTGCATGTAGGAATACTGCAACCTGCATGTAGGAATATTCAACCTGCATGTAGGAATACTGCAACCTGCATGTAGGAATATTCAACCTGCATGTAGAAATACTGCAACCTGCATGTAGGAATACTGCAACCTGCATGTAGGAATATTCAACCTGCATGTAGGAATATTCAACCTGCATGTAGGAATACTGCAACCTGCATGTAGGAATACTGCAACCTGCATATAGGAATACTGCAACCTGCATGTAGGAATACTGCAACCTGCATGTAGGAATATTCAACCTGCATGTAGGAATACTGCAACCTGCATGTAGGAATATTCAACCTGCATGTAGGAATACTGCAACCTGCATGTAGGAATACTGCAACCTGCATGTAGGAATACTGCAACCTGCATGTAGGAATACTGCAACCTGCATGTAGGAATACTCAACCTGCATGTAGGAATACTGCAACCTGCATGTATAAATGATGTAATTAGCATAAACATAGTTGTATGATGAATATACAAACATTGTAGACTGCATGTAATAATGCTGTAAACTGCAGGACTGGCTACTGTAACCTGTCAAGCTTGACAGGTTTTAATATTCACAACAAATAAACAAAATCATGTAAATACCTCATAAATAGCTAATTATATGCTTAGATTTTTTATGCTCGATTATTAATTCAGCTATTATTTATTCTTTTGTATATAATGGCTTAATGTTCATTATTTGTTTATTTTTTCCAAAATATTTTTTTAATTTACTAGCACTTTTGTTAATTTTAAAATTTTATTTCCATTCTAAATCATTTACTGCTAAAACTCGCATATTTATTGTGTGATCTTCTTCACAGTCAGATGTAAATAATACATGTATATTAGCATGTTTAATATAGTCATAAACAGTGGGGCTGGTGGTTAACGCTCTCGCTTCACACGGTGAGGGCCTGGGTTCGATTCCCAGCCAGAGTAGAAACATTGGACGTGTTTCTTTCCACCTGTTGTCTATGTTCCCCATCAGTAAAATGGGTACCTGGGTGTTAGTCGACTGGTGTGGGTCGCATCCTGGGACACTGACCTAAGGAGGCCTGGTCACAGACCGGGCCGCGGGGGCGTTGACCCACGGAACTCTCTCCAGATAAAACTCCAGATAACTCCAGACGAGAGGCCGTAGGTCAGGGTTACTGATCTGGCGGCCCGCTTTCCCAACCCGGACCTTCTGAGTCTTGTAGTGTGACCACGGCCTTCAGTGTTGTAGTGTGACCACGGGCTACAGTGTTGTAGTGTGACCACGGGCTTCAGTGTTGTAGTGTGACCACGGCCTTCAGTGTTGTAGTGTGACCAGGGGCTTCAGTGTTGTAGTGTGACCACGGGCTTCAGTGTTGTAGTGTGACCACGGCCTTCAGTGTTGTAGTGTGACCACGGCCTTCAGTGTTGTAGTGTGACCAGGGGCTTCAGTGTTGTAGTGTGACCAAGGGCTTCAGTGTTGTAGTGTGACCACGGCCTTCAGTGTTGTAGTGTGACCAGGGGCTTCAGTGTTGTAGTGTGACCACGGGCTTCAGTGTTGTATTGTGACCACGGGCTTAAGTGTTGTAGTGTGACCACGGGCTTCAGTGTTGTAGTGTGACCAGGGGCTTCAGTGTTGTAGTGTGACCACGGGCTTCAGTGTTGTAGTGTGACCAGGGGCTTCAGTGTTGTAGTGTGACCACGGGCTTCAGTGTTGTAGTGTGACCACGGTCTTCAGTGTTGAAGTGTGACCACGGGCTTCAGTGTTGTTGTGTGACCAGGGGCTTCAGTGTTGTAGTGTGACCACGGCCTTCAGTGTTGTAGTGTGACCAGGGGCTTCAGTGTTGAAGTGTGACCACGGCCTTCAGTGTTGTAGTGTGACCAGGGGCTTCAGTGTTGTAGTGTGACCACGGCCTTCAGTGTTGTAGTGTGACCACTGGCGTCAGTGTTGAAGTGTGACCACGGGCTTCAGTGTTGTAGTGTGACCAGGGGCTTCAGTGTTGAAGTGTGACCACGGGCTTCAGTGTTGTAGTGTGACCAGAGGCTTCAGTGTTGTAGTGTGACCACGGCCTTCAGTGTTGTAGTGTGACCAGGGGCTTCAGTGTTGTAGTGTGACCACGGGCTTCAGTGTTGTAGTGTGACCAGGGGCTTCAGTGTTGTAGTGTGACCAGGGGCTTCAGTGTTGTAGTGTGACCACGGCCTTCAGTGTTGTAGTGTGACCAGGGGCTTCAGTGTTGTAGTGTGACCACGGCCTTCAGTGTTGTAGTGTGACCAGGGGCTTCAGTGTTGTAGTGTGACCACGGCCTTCAGTGTTGTAGTGTGACCACGGGCTTCAGTGTT